GAAGAAAAGCAAAACAACAACAAGATAAAGAAAGGAACACGAAGGGGGGAGCAGAACAAAAATTAAACAACAACAACAACGAAGCGAAAACCAGGCAAACAAAAGGGGGGGAAGAGAGGGAAAAAAATTAAAGAATAAAAGCAGAACAACACCAAATAAAAGGGAACATAAAGGAGGAGGGGAGAAAAAAATTAAACAAGAAAAGCAAAATAAGAACGCCAAAAGTGGGGGAACACAAAGCTGGGAGCAGAACAAAAATTAAACAAGAAAAGCAAAACAGCACCAAAGAAAAGGGAACATAAAGGGGGAGAAGGGGGGGGGAGAACAAGGAAAAAACTTGAAAATAAAGCGAAAAAAAAGAAAGCAAAATAAAAGGAGGAGGAGGGAAAAAAAAAGAAGCAAGCGCCTAACCGTGAGGTCTCATCCATGGGAACATGAGACTGGGAGACGAGTTTTGATTTAAGTGCCCTTGTCCCTCGGCAGAGTTAGTGTTGGCCGACGATTTACAGTCGGGATATTGAACCACGGCCGCCTCTTGCTGCGCTCCGTACAGCGAYTGTCGCGGCAGAGCTTCGTATCCATAGAACTTGGAAGCGTCTCCGTGACACGCCAGAGCGCACGGGTTCTGCTGGTAGCCAGAATTGGAGATTCCCGAGGTGGTTCCRGGGTGGAAAAATTCCTGGACGTGGTGGGAAGGGTGCGATGGGTGCTGGAAAGTGGCGGTGGCGGCGCCGGGGCCGTAAACCAGAGCGTGGCTGCGGCTGACGCTCTGCGGGAAGCGACAATCGTAGTAGGGCGGCTCCAGGGAATCGCCGCTTTTGTACTTGGAGAACAGGGGGTTCACGAAGTACGAGCTCATGACCCTCGCATGCACGGCGGTTTGGAAAAAAAGTGGGGAAAATAGCGGAAAATAAAAAAAAATAGCGGGTTTTGGAGGAAAAACGACAAAAAAATAGCGGGTTTTGGAAGAAAAACGACAAAAAAATAGCGGGTTTTGGAGGAAAATGTGGGAAAGGGATAGAGGGAAAATTGCGGTTTTTTAAAGAAAATGCGGAAAAGCGAAAAAAAATAGCGGGTTTTTCGAGGAAAAACGAGGAAAAGCGATAGAGGAAAATCGCGGTTTTTGGAAGAAAATGAGGGAAAGCGATAGAGGAAAAAATCGCTGTTTTTTAAAGGAAACGAGGAAAAGGGATAGAGGAAAATCGCGGGTTTTTTAAAGGAAAATGCGGAAAAGCGACAAAAAAACAGCGGTTTTTGGAAGAAAGATGCGGAAAAGCGAAAAAAATAGCGGTTTTTGGAAGGAAAAATGAGGGAAAGGGATAGAGGAAAATATCGCGGTTTTTTGAAAGGAAACGAGGAAAAATCGCGGTTTTTTGAAAGGAAAATGCGGAAAAGCGAAAAAAAATAGCGGTTTTTGGAA